TTGACCACCACTTGCTGCCTGTAGCTCTCGACCTTCTCTCTTTCCCGGTCTTCTCTGCTGGTCCTTTTCCCCGATCCTGCTCCCTTACTGTGCTGGCTTCATTCTTCCTGCTGCAGCTGGGTTTTCTCCAGGAGGTGAGAGTGTGGACTGCGAGAACGCCAGTGTGCAGGTTTCGGGGCACCATGGAAGCAGTGAGCGACCTCTCACCTGGCCGCGTAGAAGCCCCAGCGCTGAGGCTGCGGGGCTGCTATCCTACACGCCCCCTCCTCCGCCCATCTCCACGGCTAACGGCGTGGCAAACCCGCCAGAGCTGAGAGCAAGCGGCCTGCTGCGGCGCGTGTGCCACGGTCCGCCTCCGCCACAGCAGAGCAGGCGCAGAGCTCAGGCCTCGGGCTACCGCTGGGGCTACGGCGCCTTACGCAAGTGAGGAATGGAGGAGGTGGGACGCAGGCGGACGGACAGCCATGGTGGGCACACAGCCTGTCGCCGCTGCCCCTGGCCCTTGAGCTGCACTCAGCCCAGGAGTGCCCAAGGAGATTAGCCTTCGCGCCTCAGTGCAGGCAGGCCTCCTATATTACTGCGAAGCGTGAATTCTGATTCAAAACTCTACTCGCCTATTTCTCAAGAAATTCTTTATTCCACACGCTACACCTAACGCTTCAAAGCACACAGACATACAGTGTTACATCTTTTTTTTTTTTTTTTTTCCGGTACCGGAACCGAACTCACGACCTTGCGCTTGCCAGGCAGGCGCTTTGCCGCTGAGCTAAATCCCCAGACCCCAGTGTTACATCTTTTGACTGCATCTTTCTTAGGTTGGGTGATTCTGATTCTAGTTATTCTTGAAGACCCTGTGGCTGAGACCTCATCATTCTTTTGACTCTGAGAAGTTTAAGACACTCATTTAACAAATACTTATAGAAGATATACATACTGTATGTCAGTGCTTGGACTACAGCAGTGAATAAAAGAAATGTGATCTCCACTCTCTCAGAACATGTACACCATGCAGAGAACAGCCGAGATTACAGACTGCTTCCCTGCACTGTGATATGAAATAGCTGGTAGGCAACTGAGACTTAGTAGTGGGATGAATAAGTAGACCCTTCCTAGAAGAATATCTAAAGTGAGCCCCCAAGCAATCAGACAGGCAAGGGAGGGGAGAGTGGATAGCACTTAACAATGACGTTTAGCGGGGGTTCATTGCAAATATACCATATAAAGCTAGTATTGTGATTTAAAGGGCCTAAGTATTATTTAAATACCAGGAATCTTCGGGTGGCAAGTGACAGAAATCCATTTCCAACTGCATCAGATAAAAAAGTGTGGGAAGACAGAGACTGGAAAAACAGCTTAACTCTATCTCCCTCTTGCCTTTTGAGGAGTTATAGCTGTTCTCTATTTTTTACCACGACTAATTAATGAATACTGTAAGAAAATGTATTTAGTACTTTTGTCACCAATGAGAAAAGAGGAGCTACCTTCTATTTGCTCCAGCCTGCAAAAATACTAAGAACTGTGCAATGCATGAGACTGTACGCACTACAGAAGCCAGCAGCCTTCTGCTTTTATGGATGCTGACAGGCTGGGCCAGAGAGAAAGGACTTTACTTTGCGCGGCACCCTGGCAGCATGACTTCACGCTCCTGCCAGTTCCCCAGGCTCCCAAGTGTCCTGTGCATGACAAATGGAAAGTCATGCACAGTGAGCGGGTACCCTGCTGAGGATCCCTGGTCTTAGAAAACCCTCACGTTATGAGGAGCTGCTAACACACCTGTCCAACCTGTGCCTTGTGGGGATACACGGTCTTCACCGCCAAACTCAGAGAAAATCCTGCCCTCTGATGTGAAGGGAGATATTGCTAGCTTCCAAAGTTCTTTGTTTTGCAAATATCCTTACCAAACCAATCCAGGCAAAAACTCTCTCAGAAGTGCAAGACATTCACGTAACATATACTTATTGGAGAGATACATACTATATTGTATGTCATCTCAGGATGTGTGGGAATACCACAGTGGGATTGCTTTCCAACAGAAAGCCCCAGAGAATCAGACTGGTGTATTTTATGCCAAGTACCTGTCCTGAATCATGCACTTTTTTTTTTCCAAGGACGGGAATAATATATAAGCTCCGCTAAAGTCAATTTCCCCTTCATTGACTAGGGTCAAGGTTGGCTAGGAAGACTTTAGGAAAAGAAAGTGCTTGACAAAGATAAATCACATGTATTACAATTCAATAATAAATTGCCAAGCTGAAGACAGAAGTAGGGGGCAGATCATTAAGAATGATATAGGTCATGTTTAATTTGGAATTTTTCCCATGTGCAATAGCCATTTGATGATGCTACAACGGAGGGGTGTTAATTTTACCTCAGCAAAATCATACTGGCACCAACTTCAGAAATTAGGAGCAAGTCACTGAGGAAATGAGTTAGCAAACTGGCCGGGTAGACAGCTGGGGTCTGAAGCTGGACACGGGATGGAGACAAGGCCAAGGGTGAAGATAACTCAGTAGTAACTACAGAGCGGGAGACAGGATTAAGGCTAAATCTTCTGTTTGAGGAAACTGACTTGAGACTGATACTAGAAAAGGAGACGCAGACTCAGGTGGGAGCTGAGTCCAGGTGCTTCTCCCTGAGCGACCTCTCTATCCCATTTTTAAAATTTTGAGACAGGATCTTCCTAAGCTGCCTGGGCTCACCTCAAACTTGTGCTCTTACTGCCTCAGCCTCCCAGAGTGCTGGTATGACAGGGTTCTGCCATCGTAACCAGCTAATTTTTTTTTTGTCAGTACTGAGAATTTAATACAAGGCCTTGGCCCTGAGCTACATCCCTGGACCATTTTTAATTTGAAACAGGGTCTCAGTTGCTCAGATTCCCAGGCTGTCTTCAAATTTGCCATTCTCCTGCCTCAGCCTCCCAGAGCACTAGCACAGGTCTGCATCATCAGACCTGGCTCAAACATACCCTTAAGGGCTGTGCAATGTGCTACAATATGGATATAGCACAAGGTAATCAAAGAAGTCAAAGTAAACAACAAAATGGAGAACTCAAGGTGTAAAACATGTTAAATGACCCAGAAGCAGAAGGGTCTTCGGTTGTTCAAAAGTTCTTCATCAACGTAAAAGAACTGTTGGGATTAAAGGAAATCCTAATCCCACAATCCGGCCGCAAAGGCATTCGATATGTGCCAGCAACTCCGCTGCAGGGGCAGTCACTGGTACTC